ATACTGTTGTGTTACTTTCTGTATAATGGATAATGAACTTACTTTCTGTATAAAGGAGATGGCAACAACCATTAAGGCTGGGATTTGAGAATCTTGATGTTTAGTCAACCAAGTAGCAGGCAGAGCCAAAAACCCGGAGATTGGCGTAAGGAGGGGGAGTGCCATGCAGACGTTCAAAGGGAGTTTGATTATGGATGACAGGGGTAGGAGCATAGTTGATAGTGTAAACAGCAGTGAGGGCCGCTTCCCCCCAAAAGTTTTCAGGGCAGGAAGAAGAGAGAAGGAGAGCGCGGGTAGTGTCAAGAATATGCCTATGTTTGCGTTCAGCGCGGCCATTTTGCTGGGATGTGCCAGCACAAGAACGATGAGGCAGTGTACCATGATACTGAAGAAAGGAAAGGAAATCTGAATCCCGATATTCCATAGCATTGTCAGAGCGAAAAATTTTGATGACTTTGGAGAATTGGGTGTGGACCATTTGGGCAAATTTATAATAAATGTGTTTAAGTTCAGACCTATTTTTTATGAGAAAAAGCCAAGTAAACCGGGAAAAATCATCAATAAAAACAAAAAAATAGCGGGATCCCCCCATAGTAGTAGTAGGAGAGGGCCCCCAAATATCCGAATGTATAAGATCAAAAGGTGCAAGGGAAACAGAAGTACTTTTATTAAATGATAAAGCAGGTTGTTTGGCAAGTTAACAGGGTATACAATCGAAATTATCGAGAATTACATGACCCAACTGACCACTAGAAACCAAAGACTTTAAGCGATTAATAGAAATATGCCCTAAGCGACAATGCCAAAGATGAAAGGGAGATAATGAGGAAGTAGATGTAGGAGCAGCGATCTGAGGAGAGGCAGGAACATGAAGGCGAATGAGTTCATAGAGACGCCCATGCTTACGGCCGATCCCAATAGTCTGCCCCGTCTGAGGGTCCTGTACCAAACAATCAGTAGCAGAAAATGTGACAGTTAGACCAAGTTCACATAATTGACCAATGGAAATAAGGTTTAAGGTAAGAGCAGGGATATGATAAACTTGAGGTATAGATAAAGAAGAGGTGGAAACAGTACCAACATGACGGACAGACATGAGGGAACTATCAGCAGTATGTATTGGGGGAATATGAGGAGATAAAGATAAGGAAGAAAAGATAGTAGAACTGGAGGTCATATGATTACAACAGGCAGAGTCAAAATACCAAGAAGAGTTACCTGGGATTACAGACAAAGCAGTAGGAGGAGGTGTACCAGATGGGGAGAGAAGTTGTTTGAGCATGACCTCGACATCCGTCGGAGAAAAGCGAGGGGTAGACGGAGCAGGTGACTTAGAGAACCCCGCAGAAGCGGCAGTATCAGTGTGATGAGACTGATTCCCAGAAGCAGCAGCAGCAGTGTGATGAGACTGATTCCCGGAAGCAGCAGTAGCAGTGTGATGAGATTGAGTCCCGGAATGATAAAAGCTTCCCCGGGAAGAGCCATCGTGAGAGGAGTGGCTATTGGAGGATGAGCGGGATGGATTGCGAAAACAATCCTGTTGCAGATAACCAGGACCAAGTTTGTTGCAGTAGCGGCAGGATCTGACGGGGCAATTGACCAGGAGATGGGTTGAAGGAAGGCCTCGATTCTGACAATAGAGGCAAGCAGTGGTCCGCTGGGTAAATGATGGCCGGTACGGAGGAGTGGCAAGAACAGAGTCCACATGATGAGTTTGAAAAGTACCGAGACGAGTCTCCTCTGATAGCAACTCAGAAATTGCTTGTTCAAGAGTGGGCAATGGATGGCGATGAAGCAGAGAGGCACGTACGGGCTCAAAGGAGGAAGTAAGAGCCATGAGAAAGTGCACCAACCTTTGCTGGTTACGATAGATAGTAAATAAAACAGCATCTTCGGGGTTATGCCAAGTTGGTTCTGAAAGAGCAAGCTGATCCCAAACAGAGTACATTTGAGAAAGGAAGTCATTAATGGACTGAGTGGATGCTTGGCGCATGCGGTGAAGTTGGTTCTGAAGTTGATATTGATGGGCAAGACCAGTAGTCTGGTATTGTTCTTTCAAAAAATCCCTGATGTCTTTTGCAGGAGTTGCTATAGAGTCAAGCTGAAAGCGACCAAACTGAAGACTGATAGAGGTAACAGAGGTATTACGAAACCAAGTAATGATTTGGTAATTCTTACTGTCCCATTCCTCAAGTCGGTCTTCAAATGTAGCAATAGGAGCAGTAGTTTCATTAGTGTCACTGTCTTTCACTGGTTTAATCACATCCCCGGTGACAATTCGCCAGAGCTTCTTTCCTTTGAGGAAGGAGGACATGGCTTGGGCCCACAGAACATAGTTTGAATCATTCAAAATAACAGACATGGGATGGGAGACATCATGACGATCCATAATACTAGTTGAGTAGGGTTTAAAGTAATAGGAATAGACCTGTAGGAGCAAAATTAGGTAAAACAGAGTGTACCAGTGAGTCCGAAAGGGCGAAAATAGCAAGGAAAGGTATGCTGGACAGAGATGATGTCAGCAATGATGTCAGCGGCGCACGTTAGCAAAGTGTAGGGAGGAACACGTTAGCAGGAAGCGCCGGCGCACGATAGCGGTCAGGCGCAGGCGCGGCGCACGGTAGCTGTTTTGGCGCACGCGGGTGCACACTAGTGAAGCGGCGCACGAGAGGCGTACAATAGAGATTTTTGAGAATTCTTTTTGTTTTTCTTTTGGTGATGCAAAGTACAGTGGTTGAGGTAGAGGATGAAGATCAAACCCGGGACATGCCTGTACCACTAGGGCAATGCCTTCAACTTCTTGAGAATTCTTTTACAACATGTAATTCCATTGTTTGTTGTGCAATTTGTTGAGAAGTTGAGCTTAGTTTATCTTTTGCCATGAAATAATAGTTTGAGAAAGTGAGAGAGGATAGAGAGAGAGAGAGAGAGAGAGACAATGAATTGTTGTTTGTCTGTCAAAACTATGTGTATATTACAAAGAGAAGGCACTCTCTTTATAGAGAGAGTTATGGTGCATTGGATGCTCACCGAAAGCATAAAGAATAAAGTAAAGTGCTAATAATTAAAGCTATACACTAATATTAATATTACAATTATACACTAACAATATAAATAATAATAAATAATCAAAAAAAAAAAAAAACATGGATTAGTACCTATACTCTAGATTCTGAAATCGTTCAATTTGCAATTTTTTTACTGTTAGTAACCATAAAAAGGGCTCATGTATCGTTATGTGAACCTTCTTGTCAGACCACCTCCAGTGTTTCAGACTTATCATGATTCATGAGTATAAATACTTGGTAAATCCACCCTTGCCTTTGTCAAGAGATTAGTCTCTCTATCCAGTCGTATTAATATGTGTTCATCACCTTAGGGGTACAAATTGGACCTTTTAGACCATTAACCAAATAATTGATATTTGAGTCTCAATTGAGTAGCAAGCAATCATATCAAGGACTGATTTTTTGTGTCAGTTATTTGCAGGGTAATGGTCAAACACTAGCTTATCTTACTAATAATTTTTCTTTTCACGGAAATTTTAATTTGCAGCAAAGAATTTTGGAGTCACAGAATTTGTGAATCCAGAAGACCATGACAAACCAATACAACAGGCTATTGTTGACCTTACCGATGGTGGTGTTGACTACAGTTTTGAGTGCATTGGAAATGTCTCTGTAATGAGAGCTGCTTTGGAGTGCTGTCACAAAGTAAGTTGTCCTGATTTGGTTACTCAAGTCATGCTTATATATTGCTGTAGTTGATATATACACATCTGATTTTTTTCTGACTTAAAAATAAAAAATCTGGGATGGGGTACCTCTGTTATTGTGGGTGTTGCTGGTGCTGGTGCTGGTGCTGGTGCTGGTGCAGAGATTTCCACTCGTCCTTTCATGCCGGTGACTGGCTGTGCTTGGAAAGGAACATCATTTGGTGGTTTCGAGAGCCGTTCACAGGTGCCTTGGCTTGTCAACAAGTACATGAGGAAGATAAACTAAATACATACCATTTATGTACAAGTTCCATTGTTCCTTGGTGGAGTTTGTCATTACTAAAATCTTTTTGTTTAACAGGAAATCAAGGTTAACGAATACATCACCCACAATTTGACTCTTGCAGAGATCAACAAAGCATTTGACTTGATGCATGAAGGGGCTTGTCTCCGCTGCATGATGAACATGAAAGCATGAGATGAACAATCCAGTCCTATCACCTCTGTTAATTACACTTACCAGGCATGAAATGGTCAGTCTGGTCCTATCGCCCGTCTTATAGTACTTGATAGAGAGCCTCTTGTCTGGTTTTTTTTTTTTTTGGGTTGTGGTGGCTGAGAAAAATCGAGGGCAAGCTATCTAGAAACCTAGTTAAGGATGGTTAGTGTGTTCTGTCTCTACATCCTTCGAAAGGATTTTGTGCTATCTTATACTATATGACACTGCTGTCTATTTGCATTCTGTGCATGATGTTGCAGGAAAGATAGTGTAGTTTCCAAAACGTTGAATAGATCCAACGAATTGTAAATCGGTTGTGATGATACAAAAGTGTGTGGATCAACCGTGCTAACTGCTAACTGCGACTCAACAGAGCAGCTGCGAATCTTTTTGCAGATCTGTGGACGGTTGTATTTGGTTACCTGATTCAGAGGTAGTCCTCACATCAAAGTGAGTTTTTCCATGCATTTTGGTCAGTTTTATTTTATTTTTTTAAAAACAAAAATTCATATTTCAGGGAGGAGTTGCAGCAATCTTTGAAGTAAAAACTCAATGTAAACGACAATCGTTGGGTATTCAGTTATGGGCAATTCAAAAAATGCAAAAGAAAGAAAGCTAGCTGAAAATAAGAAGATGATTGCAAGAAACTGCAGCAGCTAAAGAAAGCAGCTGAACTTAGGCACCATTTTTCAAGTTTCAGTGATACCCTTTGTCGTCACAGCAGCAGGTGAGTGGTTTCTTATCATTATTATTATTTTCAGTTTCCTAGTCTATATACAGAGTTCATCTAAGTTGATCAAATTAAACAGCCATTTGATAACATGGAGTTGTGCCTGCACCGGTGCGCTCCATTGTTGACATCATGAACCCCTTTTTCAGGTTATCATCATCATTATCACCGTGATATGCATATCCACCATGGCTGGTCAGATCCATCCCCGCCATCTCATCGTCATTTGATATCCTCAACAGCTTCAACTTGTGTAGCACCAAGAATAATGTCCCCATGGTAACACTCACCCACCCTGCAATCACTACAATCTGAACCACATGTGCCGCCAGAAGCTTACCACCACCACCCATAAGCAGCCCGTAAGGCCTCCCCGGTCTGCCGGAGTAAATCTCATTCACATACTCCTTCTTGGCAAACAATGCAGTGAAAATTATCCCCCACGCTCCACACCCTGCGTGAAGCTGTGCCGCTTCCAATGGATCATCGTACTGTAGTTTCTCAGCAAGCTTGTTACATCCAATGAGTACCCAAGCGGCCACAAATCCACAAATGATGGCTGCCCACGGGTCCACAACCGCGCAACCGGCAGTGATGGCAGCAAACCCACCTAGCAAACCATTGCAGACATCAATTAGGTTCCAATGGCCGACCAGCAACCGTTTTCCAAAGAGAGTAGTGAGTGCAGCCATGCATCCAGAGAGCGTTGTGGTGACGGCGGTTCTTCCGACTGCGCTCCACTGACCGTAATACGAACCACTCTCTCCTCCATATGACTTCAATATGTTGAGAAATGAACCTGCGTTGAATCCATACCAGCCAAACCATAACAAGAAGGTGCCTAAAACAACCAATGTCCCACTATGCCCACGCAGAGGGACTGGCTTGCCAGAATGATCGAACCGGCCTATACGAGGGCCTTCAATGAGTGCACCCCACAACCCAGCAATGCCTCCGACCATGTGAACAACACCGGACCCTGCAAAATCGATAACCCCAGATCCAAACAGGAGGGTATTAGGTCGTGCAGGGCTGGCCCAACCATCACTGGACCAGAACCAATGAGATACAACTGGATATACAAAACCTGTCAAGAAAGATGAGTATATCAAGTATGCCACAAACTGGGTTCGCTCGGCGATCGAGCCGCTGGTGATTCCTGCAGCAGCGATGGCAAAACACCATTGATAGAGGAAGTAACTGTAGTCGAAGGAAGGAGTAGGAAAATTGTTGAGGCCGAACAAATGTTTGCCGATGAAGCCGTTGGAAGGGGCACCAAAGGCTAAGGCGAAGCCGAAAAGGTAGTAGAAGAGGCCACCAGTGGCTGCGTCAAGGACGTTGGTGAGCATGATGTTCATCGTGTTTTTGGCGCGGACCGAGCCTGCGCATAGCATGGCAAAGCCGAGTTGCATTGAGAATACCAGGTACGCTGAGAAGAGGAGGTACGTGGTGTCGACTGCGAAGGCTGTGTCGATGAACTTGTTTGAAACTGTGTCGAATTGGCTGCAAATGAACTCGGCAGCCGCGGTGGCATTGGTGGCGCCACCTAAGAGTTGGGTTAGATTGGCAGCAGAGCAGGAGAGAGCCGCCATGAGATAGATCTGGGGAGAGAGAGAGAGAGAGAGAGAGAGAGAATGGAGAAGAATATTATATGGAGTTTTGGTTTTGAATGCTACTACTACTGATAATATATATACACGTGTGTGCTTATAGATAGTGAGTGAATGAAGAATATATGGTGTGCCTGTAATTTCATGTTAGCGGTGTGCCTAATCAATAGCAGGGTCTAAGGAATACATGAAACTAAAAACAATAAAATAATAGAAAAATGAGATAATCTCATTAGATAAACACACGATCATACGATGTTCCTGCCTCGTAGAGTAATTTCTCGAATATATGGAGAGATTTAGAAGGGCTTCGGAAAGATCAAGATTCTCGGAGATTTCGTAGCTGAGAATCGTAGACCAACAAACTTGTTAGATTTAAGTGGGACTTTTCCTTCATAATATTGAAAATCAAACCAAATTTCTTTTAACTTTTGTTCTTTATTATGTTTCAGTTATAACAATTTTAACTCTCTACTTTTAAATATATCTTAATTTGGTCGTTCCATTAATGTCATTAAAATTAGGCACGTGACTAAATTATAAGTACTTTCAAAATTTAATAGTTAATCCCTTTATAACATAGTATTATAGCTAATCTCTTTTCAAAAATACTAGATGTCCCAAAAATTCTACCAAACCAAATGTCACCCATGTGAGACATTTGGTAAAACTTTTGGTAGAATATTTGGGGTTTCTATCATTACTCATCTCTTTTTTAAATTTTGTTACAAAATTTACAAAAAAACCAGATCATGTATAAGCACATAACACATTTATTAAATTTTTATAACAATAATACTAGTTATTGATTGTTTTAGGATAATAATACTGTTATCTACTGATTTTATTTTCACTTTGTCTCTCTTATCTCAATGACAAAGTGTAAACGTGATCGACATTATTGCCCTAACAATTTAATAAATGGATCATGTACTTTACACATAATTTGATTTTTTAGAAATTCTTAACAGAATCCAAATAAAAATGTTTAACTGTAATAAGATAATACTTTTGAGGGGTAACCTGTTGAGTTTTGAAATTCTAAGGAAACAAAATGTAAATGAGTCATAATTTAAGAGGATTTACTGTAATTTATCCATAATTTTTTTTTTCGTGAGTAGTGTTACTTTAATCAAAGAGTTAAGACTCAATTTTTAACTATTTTTCATATCTTCTATAATAATCAATCAATAGTGCATTGGTTGAGGCAGTTGAGAGAGAAGGCAACGGTGATCAATGAGGTGGGAAAGGGGTGACAATGGTGACATTCGGTGGTCGGTGGTAGTTGGCAATGGTGGCCGCGGGTAGAAGGAGATAATAGCGGGTAAGGAGACAATTTTTATTTTGTTTTTAAGATTTTTATCCAGTGATTTGGTTAAGAATAAAAAAAAGTAAGAATGATAAGTGTAATGAGAGAAAATCATATTGTAAATAGAATTGTCCTAAGGTGGTGTTTGAGAAAAATGAAAATTAAAAATTAAGTATTAAAAACTATATGTTGAATTTTTTAAGTTGAAAAGTTATTCAACAAATAATTAAGTGTTAAATTAAAACAAATTGTTGGATATGTATAAGATCAAATTTAATTTTTTTTTCAAATTGTATATATTATAATTTTTATATTGTGATGATACGTTGTTAGTGGTAGAGTAGGCATTGGCAGACTTAGTTATGGTGCCAATGACAATAGTGGTAGAGATTAAGGGATAGTGATTGTATTGATGGTGGAAGGGTGATATTGTGGAAATAAAAAGGGGGGTAAGCAATGGTTGAATGATGGTAGTAGATGTAACAACGTTGACAATGGTAGTGGAGGTGGTGCCGGTGGTGGAATTGTTAACTGTGGTGGTAGTATGATGAAATTAGTGAAATAATGGTAGTACTTATGGTAACAAATGGTGATGAAAGTGGTAGTAATAGTAGTAGTGCTAGTGGTGGCAGCGGCAACAATAGTGATGGTGGTTGTGATAATACTAGTGGCGGTGGTAGTAAATTTATAATAATGTATGTCGATACGTATATTTAATATTTATAAATTTAATTAGAATTAATTAAGTTTAATATTATTGAAATTTTTTAACTTTTAACCTAAATTTTAAGAGTTACTTAGGGCTTGTTTGGTAACCATTTCGTTTTCAGTTTTCAGTTTATATTTATGAAAATTTAAAAAATTGCCATAAAAATTTGTTTGATAATTTTTTTAGTTTATAAATGGTTGTCTCAGTTTATAAATTTGAGAAAAAAACGTAAACTCAAAAAATGAGTTTATGTTGGTTTTTAAATAGAAATTTAAAAATTTGACTAACAATTTTTTTTAATGAATTTTTTTTTCAATTAATTTTTTTTTGATTAAATTTTTTTCAAATAATTTTTTTTTTCAATTAATTTTTTTAATTAATTTTTTTTTCAATTATAATGTGTATGATCCAATTGTCATAAATAATAAAAAATAAATATAAATATTTTAGGCATGAACAAACATAATTTTTAGTTTATATTTTTAATTTTTTTAAAACATTTTGTTCAAACTAAACGCGTTTGTAGTTTATGTTTTTCTAAAAATAAATAAAAATTAGTTTATAAAATTTTTCTAAATATAAACAAACCAAACGCTACCTTAGTTTTTTAAATAATATCGTTATCAAACAGAATTAATTAATTATAATTTATCACCTATTAAATAATATCATTACAGTATTGAATTAGGTTATTAAACACCGCTTAACTTATCCCAAGATAAGTTATCCCTCTTATTGGCAAATCAAACACATTGTACTAAGAATTTAGGAAGTGAAACGATTTTGTTTTAAACATTTATAGATTGTGCACTCTCGTCACAAATCCAGATAATGTTCCATATTAATCTGAGATTAGTATAAATATTGTGCTCGATGATGTCCTAATAGTTCAATTAGCAGTCGATTAATATTTGTTGAAATCGCAAGTAGACACCAACTTAAGTTAGGGCATGGATTCTCTATCTTCAAAAAAAATGATCTTATGCATTATAACAAATGTCTTCTTTAGAAGGTAAAATTTTTAATGTAATATAATACCACGTCAATAGTATTATCGTTTAATAATATCTTAACATTTACTTCTTATGCATATGTGACAATGTATTTTTACTTAATAAGTAGAGATTCATCCCTCTCCTATAGAGTTTATTATTTGTTAATAATACCACTTCACCAACTGTTACACTCAATTTTTACTCATTTAGAAGAAGGCATTTCAACCCATAAACTAGGCTTATAATTGACACGAGTAATTTTACACTGTCAAAAAAGTTACTATTCAAATTTAAAATTAAAAAAATAGTCACATCAACTTATGAAATCGCTCATTATTAAAAAAATAAAAAAATATATAAGAAAGCAAACAATAATTAAGGGTAATGGTATTATTTTTAATAAATAACTGAGAAAATAATTACAAAATTAATGGAATAAAATTGTGAAAATGAAAATTGTGCAACAATTTTCACGTAATGAGAAAAAAAAAACTACAAAATTCTCATTTCCTCATTTCCATTCCATTAGTTTTGTAATTATTTTTTCCATTTTTCATATATTAGATAATATTTTCAAATATTTACGAAATTCACTGATCCAGGATAACTTTTGTGAACACTAGAGAAATACTGAGACAGAAGCAAATATGCAAATTAATCTAATTAAATGCAATGAGATCGAATCAAATCAAATTCAAAAATGTGTTGGTGTCATTAGAGCTCTATGCTTTTGATCACCATCTCCATCTCCATCATATTCATAAGCATATCCACCATGACTGGTTAAATCCATTCCTGCCATCTCTTCCTCAGGAGAAACCCTCAAAAGCTGTAACTTATGCATAACAAAGAACAATGGTCCCATGGTGACGCTCACCCACACAACTATGGCCAAAATCTGGACAAAATGTGTGGCAAGAAGCTTCCCACCACCGCCTATCAACAGCCCGAAGGGCCTCCCTGCATACACCTCGTTCACATACTGCTGCTTGGCAAACAATCCAGTGAAGATAATCCCCCATATACCGCACTGCCATATTTGTTTGGGTGGACAAGAGCTTTGGATTGGACTAATAATCCAATAAAATTATTAATCCGACGTTTAGTTAAACAATTGAAGTACCGACTGACAATCCATCCGGATATGGTATCCCACATATGATAAGTTATTCAATCCCATAGAGGGGGGTGGGATATATATTGGAGGACTAAGCTAAAGTCTGGGCTATTAGTCCTTCCTTATAATCCTAACTCAATCCAAATATAAGATAGAATACATAATCCAAAGGGATTCGTAGTCCTAGGACTATTAGTCATGGGAATGCTAATCCAACTTAATTCAATCCGCCCAAACAAACATGGCCTCAATGAGGTTGTGCCACCTCTAATGGATCGTCGTACTTGATTTTCTCCACCCAATTAGCACCCAAGCTGCCACAAACCTGCAGATGACGCCCACGAGTCTACCACAGAGCAGCCTCCCGTGATTGCCACGAACCCACCTACAAAAAAAAAAAAAAAAAATAAAAATCATTGTAGATGGAAAATGATCATGTGCAAGTCACATGATCATTAGTAAAGGGCAAAATGGACGATTTACTTACATTCTCCGAACAAATGCACTGAAGTCTGATGTACACTTTGGAGTCAACACAATTGATTAACTCAGTTGATGCAACAGCCATCAACCACTATCACACTGCCAACAATTACCCAACCTTACTGCCGGTTTCCGCACTTACTACCGCTATGACCAAACCCTTTGCCAACAGCTACCAGCCTTTAGTAGCACCATTCATAGCAAATAAAATCAAAGCAAACCTTTTTAAAATCAAACCAAAATTAAAGCGAGCAAAACAATATCTTACATTTTAACTCAAAGAAAAAAAAAACAAGCCTAAGAGAGAGAGAGAGAGGAGTATTGAAATTCATGAATTCATCATCATACAAATTACAAAAGCAAAGTGAGATATAGAAATGAAGACCTCTTATTGATATTTTTCTTCAGTGCTAGTACATTATATTAGTCATGTATTTATCAACTCTTAATCCAAACAACTCCACATTTAACAACTATTTTGTTAGCACTAAAATTTATTTTTCTCTGTTGAATAAGCATAACAAAGTACAGAGAGCTGATCCAACGGATGCTAGGGGAAAAGATCACGAGCTTATAATGGGATGTGGGTCCCAGAATGCAAAACAAGTGATAGGAGTGAAACAGTTAAAGGAGCAGATGTGGCAGACGCAGTTTTTCCTGTCGATTCATCTGATAGTGCAGTAGGATGTAGCCAAACGTGGCCCAAGTGTCAAGCCATGAAGTTAGGCATGCAAATGATGCAGGATACATGTCTTGTTTGCAAGAGAAAGAGAAGACTGTAGCAGAAAAGCATTTACCAGCGTTTATAGAGATCATGGG